TTTGCTGAAATTAAAACAGGGATGGTAATAGATGAGCGCCAGCCAATGAGATTGCCATTTGCGCATTAGTTCCGCCCTTGTTCTTAAAAGCCGAATAATTCTAAATGAACTCTGTTATTTTGACAGGAAAATACAACAAAAGAATATGGTTTACATGTAGCGTGTCGATTCAGCGTGGTATGCAAAACTCTCTCGCTCTCTCTCTTTGCATGTGTGAGAAACAGCGCTATCAGCAAAGCGATGGCGAGTCGTGCGCCTCCACACTAGAGTTTACGGTATGTCAAATACTGCTGCGCTGCACCTTTCACCTTTTCTACCAGAGTGTTTAGCGAGTGAAACTATATCTGTGCTAAATTTATACTTAGCCTCCAACTCACACACTGGCGAGTAAAATCTAAGAATTTATTAGCAAATGGCTAACAGTAGACATCATTTAGTCGCCCAGAGTGAAGATTTAGTCTATCGTGTCGCACCACAACAGCTAAAGTCTGTCTGCACTGACAATCATTTGAAATTTGTGTCAGTGCGTCATAAATAAAACACAGCAGCAGTTTACGGTCGGGAATTTGTCACGCCGCATCCAGTGTAGACCGCACAATAGGTTCTATTGTATTTTGTTGCATCACGCCGCGCCGCTCGCGTCCGGTGTAGACACGGTGTTAATCAGTCAATCAAGCATTATATTATGATATTATGACAATTAAGCACTATTTAATGATAGAACTTTAGTGATTAGAACTAAAACTTTGTAACCATGTATGAAAGCATATTTGTCAGTCTAACTGAACTTAGGACTGGTGGTGATGCTTAAGATATTGTTGATCATTCAGGGTTTCTGTAAAAAAAAAAAAAAGATAATAGTAATTATTATTAAAAGATAATACTACTACTAATTCCACTACTAATAACAATGCACTAAGGATTGATTAGCTGCTGGGTTCATGAAAATTAATCACGTTGTCAGCGTTCACTCGAATTGATTTGCTGAAATTAAAACAGGGATGGTAATAGATGAGAGCCAGCCAATGAGATTGCCATTTGCGCATTAGTTCCGCCCTTGTTCTTAAAAGCCGAATAATTCTAAATGAACGCTGTTATTTTGACAGGAAAATACAACAAAAGAATATGGTTTACATGTAGCGTGTCGATTCAGCGTGGTATGCAAAACTCTCTCGCTCTCTCTCTTTGCATGTGTGAGAAACAGCGCTATCAGCAAAGCGATGGCGAGTCGTGCGCCTCCACACTAGAGTTTACGGTATGTCAAATACTGCTGTGCTGCACCTTTCACCTTTTCTACCAGAGTGTTTAGCGAGTGAAAATATATCTGTGCTAAATTTATACTTAGCCTCCAACTCACACACTGGCGAGTAAAATCTAAGAATTTATTAGCAAATGGCTAACAGTAGACATCATTTAGTCGCCCAGAGTGAAGATTTAGTCGCATATGCGAGTGATTTACTCGCAATGTAGAGGGTTGATTGGGAGGCCCCTAAACTGAGCTGCTACTTTTTCTGTGCCCTATCTGTTTCCCCACTCTCTGTCAACAGGTGTGTGTGTGTGTGTGTGTGTGTGTGTGTGAATTGTGTCTATTCCATATTAAGCTGTCTCTGGAGTGGTGGGCTATGATTAGCACATGCATACCCGTTACATTTAATTGGAGCTTCAATTACAGCACCACACACACTATTCTCTGTCTTTTCCATCTCTCATGTGTTTTCTCTCTGTGATCAGTTTTGTACAAATGTTTTTTTTTATTTTTTATTCATTTTGTTTGACGCAATGTATAACAACATGGTGTGCTGTGATGATATTTCCATATTAAGATGTTATTTAATTACGGCATTCAACCTTAGGCTGTTTAACGGCAAAACATTTTCACAGGTCTCAATATGAGATGTAATTTCAATATATGCTCTTATTAGACTTGATGGCCATAATGAAAGGGACAATGGATCAATTTACCTCAGATCTTGAAAATAAATGAAAGGAAAATAGAATTGGTCAAACTGTTTTTTTTGTTTTGTTTTTTGTGAGTGGATTCTATGACAAAGATTGAGTATGTAGCCTATTTTGAATAATGTTAAAATTGGTTAACCAATTAATCAAATGTTTCATTGCAAGTATGAGACAGTAGTGAGCTTGTGGAGAGAGCCCACTTGCACTTTCGATTGCCTTTAATTGATTTTGTCGTGTCTTGTAGAATTGTAATTTCTGGTGTGGGCTAGGCTTGCCGCGATAGACGGTGCTGACGGTGTCAAGCCGCAACACCGGTTATGTCACTTGCCCACTGACCCCTACCGTCGTTTTGATTTTTTATAGTAATAAAAATAATTTCGTTCAGTTAAAGGAGCAGACACTACAATTAAAAACTGAATGCGGCTGCTCAATGCAGCGTGCTGAACGACAGTCGCATCACAGATCAGATTTCATTTATTCAGTGAGGAGTCGAGCTGACTGACAAGAAGAGTGAGGTGAGACAGACAAGACGATGGCGGATGATTTAGTTTCAAAACGAAATGCAAAAGCGCCTGTTTGGCAATATTTTGGATTTTGAAAAGCCTGTTGACTTTTGCCGTTTATCTAAGGGGATTTTGGAAGTTTTTTTAAACATTCGTTTCTTATTTAATTAGTTCCACATTGTTTGCTGATTTTTACTTTATTTAAACTTTGTGTAATTTATTTAATTTTTTTTACATCAAGATGTATGATGTAAATCGTTTTGCTAATAAACGTTCTGCGTTTCTTATTTATTTGGTTATATATTATACATGTTTACTTAGCCTATTTCCAGTTTTGTATACCTATTTAAACTTTATGTAAGTTATTTGTTATTTTATATTAGGCATAGCCTGCCCTATAGCATGGTGTATTTTTATTTGTTTTGTTAATAAAAGTTCTATGTTTTATATATAGGCTAAAGTGAGTTTGACGTTGTATTTTGTTGTTGCATTCAAGCAATTGACGCCGAACTGCCACTAATTCGAAAGTGAATGTAAAATGCGCACGGCGCTTTTAAGCTATTTAAAAGCGAAGGAAAAGAGGGGAAATTCAAATGAACTAAAAACGAACAATTGCTTTACGCCGAATTGCCGCTATTTGAAAGTGAAAGTAAAATGCGCATGCAGATTTTACACGCTATTTAAAAGTGAAGGAAAGCGAGGAAAAGAGGGAACGCCCGCCCCCGCGGTGATACTGGTATTATTGGTGTTGTCACACGTTGATTAACCGGTGGGAAAATTTTCTCACCATCACAACTCTAGTGTGGACACAAAATCTTATCGCGTTGGGACTGGTTAGGACCGGGTGTTAAAGGTGAAGTGTGCAATTTCTGCACTGATTGATCACCAAACTAAATTGAGAAAACTGACTTTTAGTTTGATTCAGAATAATGTTTGGGAACCATTAACAGAACTGAGTGTCATAATATTTTATGTGATCAAAATGTTGTTTTTTAATGCTGCGTTTATGGGTAATTAAAATTTTTTTTTTCAATCTGTCAAACCTCTCTTTGCATTTGCACCTATTCAAACACCTTCTCTTTGTCTCCTTTTGACTCGCTGCCTTTTTAATGTCCTCCTCCTAACCCTGCTGAGAGAGGCAACTGTTTTTTTAGTAAAGACACTATAGTTTATTGTCATCGATGCACAGGAAATCTCCCAGCTTGTCACCTGTCCCGCGTTGATAATCTTATCGCTAAACCCACACCGCAATGTAAAAGCATCAATAAAAACTGCTAATCATTTATCGCCTGCCTGGAAGGGCCATTTCTTCTTATGAGCTCTTGTTCTCATTAGACTTGTGTGTACACACACGCTCACACTCTCTTTCTCTCAAGGGTCCGCCCCTCAGCAGTTCACACACTTTCACTTTGTCAGTTGGGCTGCAAAGCACCAACTGAATCAGGAAGTGTGAGTGTGAGGTAGAGACAGGCAGCACGAGGTGAATGTGACAAGAAGGCCAGCAGGTACGGTTTCTCTTTGCTTGCGGTAAGACCGTAATGATTGAGAGGAAAGTGGGAATGTAACAAAAACTGGAAAGAGAAACAAATACGGACTGGTTTCTGTGTTGTTGCACTGCTTCTGCTGTTTACGCTGCAGACACCTTGATTTATGGTAGGTTTGAAACGATTTTTAGTAATCATGTTTTTTAAGGACTACTGTATCTATTGAAGTATATATGTGCTTGTTTTTGTCTCGTCTCACACGTTGAAAACAGCACACACATTCTTCGAATGCAGAAGTGTAGTAATATGCAAATTACCCGTAAATGTTGTTTATGTGAGTGCATTGGTGTCAGGTTAAGCATGCAATTTGTTTCTATACTGGCATCAGAGTGGCTGCATGACCTTGTTTTTGTGTGGGAAAAAAATGCTGTTATGTTTATATATGCGATTATAAATCTGTCTGGAATGGTCCATCTTTCTCTGTGTCCTTTTTTGCCAATAAAACTTGCCATTAAAGGTTCTTTTGCTGCCAGTTTTATACACACAACACTCCTGCCATTTCTGGTTTTACTCTAAATCTTCTTCCATTCATTTAATTCGCTTCTAATAACACATAGAAGCTAGGGTCCTTTCATTTGGCATGTTTGTGTGGTCCAGATAGGGTTTGGGGTTTGTGACAGACTTTATTGTGAGATTACAGAGAAGTGTGATCCTGTTATTTCACTTTCTACAAGCTGCGTCCCGCCAGCTGAGGGCATGAGATGACACACACACACACACACACACACACACAAACACGTGTGTACAGATAGCAGGTCACTACTGAGGTCTTTGGTGTTCTGTGTCATGCTAAAATATGCAATAACTGGTGCAAACACAACCATTGATTCGTTGGTGAATAAACTTCTCCTTGCAACCCAGCAAGCTTTGTTAATCTTCCATCTTCGTTTCCCCTTTGTTTCACTGCTGTCAAACCTGTTTTTTTTTCATATACTTAACACGCCTAGTTAAACTTGTTCCTCATTCTGGCCACTTTTTTTTTTCCCTGTGTGTGTAGACCAGAATCTGTGGAAGCGAGCTCTGTGGTAGTTGAGAAGTCCAGCTACCCTCACCAGATTTACAGCAGTAGCTCCCACCAATCCCACGGCTACATCGGTCTGCCTTACGCCGTGAGTATCGTCCCCCAGCAAAACACGGCACACACCTTCCTGCCCTTACATTGTTGACCTGCTTATCAACATTCTGTGTTATCTGATCATGCATTCACTTCTTTACTTTCTGATGGTTCTTTGGCAGGACCACAATTATGGGGCTCGACCCCCACCCACCCCGCCGGCATCCCCGCCTCCCTCGGTGCTGATCCGGCCGGGCGAGAGTTTGTTTGTGTCCGGGGGTCGGCCAGGCGAGAACTTGTTTGTGCCTGGCGGCCAGGACGAGGCGTCGCGTGGCACCACGCTCAGCACCTCGGAAGACGGCAGCTACGGTGCTGACATCACACGCTGCATTTGCGGCTTCACCCATGACGATGGCTACATGATCTGCTGCGACAAGTGCAGGTGGGACCACACACATTGATGCCAATTTGACATGTCCAAACCATGTCCACATATGTAATTACAGCATTCATGTCTGTGTCAAAACCTGCTGAGGTGCTTATCTGTCTTAAGCTGTCTAAAATGCTTTATTGATGTGGAGCTCACTAGTTCTTGAGACGAGGCCTGGTTTAAAGAATCATGTAGGCTATATTACAACCAGTGGGTCCTAGACAGAGTCAGACATTAAGATGGCAAAGATGCCACAAAGAGTGACAAACGTGTCACAGATTTAAATGTAGGGTAGATGTAATGAAATTATGCAATTAAATGTTTTTAATGTAGTAATGATATTTCAAAAAAGGTAGAGATCTGTCAAAAATATACAGGGACATAGATGCCCTAGATATGCTCTTAGATGTAGGGTAAAAATATTAATGTTGTATGTGTTTTTTATACTTGCATAAAAAGTAGCAAGGACACATTAAATTTATCAAAAGTGATAGTAAAGATATTTATAATGTTACACAAGATTTTAAAGGGGTCATATGATGTTGCTAAAAATAACATTTATTTTGTGTATTTGGTGTAATGAAATGTGTTTATGCGGTTTAAGGTAAAAAAAAACACATTATTTTCCACATACTGTACATTATTGTTTCTCCTCTATGCCCCGCCTTTCTGAAACGCGTCGATTTTTACAAAGCTCATCTGTCTGAAAAGCGAGGTGTGCTCTGATTGGCCGAATACCTCAAGCGTGTGACGGAAATGTTATGCCCCTTACCATACTGTGATGCCGTGTCCCGGCGCGACGAGACAAAACCAATAAAACCCATTATAAATGAGGCATTTGTTGCATCCAGTGGGGACATAATTACTGATCATAATGACTTGTACTACCTTTTTACGCGTTGCATTGTATCGCGCCGCGTAAACATAAAACCATGTCTGCATTTGTGATCGGAGAAATGACAAACAAGCGCTACTCTACACCGCTAAAAACTCGCGTTTCAATCGTCAGTGGCAAATTCTTTAAATATAAAAAACATACTTACAGTCTGTGAGTCAGAACAGCCGGCATTGTAGTCTACTCTACCAGGATCAGGAAACAGTCCTCCATAAAATGCACTGCACACATCTGAATATTTGGGTTGAACTGTTCTGGAACAGTGTGGTAAATACAACTTAACCACTGATTTCTAGTCGTGTCCTCTTTTGGAAGGCCAAACAAAGTAGTTTCGCTTTCGCAACGAAACACACAGCGTCTTCACAACATGGCGGTGGCAGCAACAATAAACTTACGCCGCCTTTCTTTGCGTGAACATTTGGACGGTGTTATGCAAACCTTCCCACACAGTGACGTAGACATGTGGGGGCGTGTTTGAACGAGGCGTTTTAGGAGGGGGAGGACCAGTCTTAACTTTTATAAAGAATATCTCTTTGGGTTTGAGACTTTAGTCTTTGCAACTTCAGGGATCTTATCTATTCACGAACAGCTTGTAACACTCCAAAGAGAAAACTTGAAATTGCATCATATGACCCCTTTAAGTAAATGCTGTTGTTTCTATTTAAGAAACAATATGTAAGTTTTGACCGCTAGAGGTCGCATTTTCAAAACAATAACAAAGGTGAAGCTTGATGACGCTATGAAGGAGAGGAGAACGATGGGTGATGTCGTTTTTACCATCCAGAGATGTCCAAATCATGTTTATGGATGTAATGAATTCATTTTTTTTTTATTACCTGTCACTTCTAAAGTTATTCAAACAGCGAATAAATTATATAGAGAAAGCGAACAAAGAACATTTAACGTTACATTGTCAAAGAACAGTATGCCTGACTTCCGTCTAGCGTGAGTTTAAGCACTCTCAAAAAACTCTCCTTATAAGCAGTAAAGGAGAACGATGGGTGATGTCGTTTTTACCATCCAGAGATGTCCAAATCATGTTTACGGATGTAATGAATTCATTTTTTTTTTTATTACCTGTCACTTCTAAAGTTATTCAAACAGCGAATAAATTATATAGAGAAAGCGAACAAAGAACATTTAACGTTACATTGTCAAAGAACAGTATGCCTGACTTCCGTCTAGCGTGAGTTTAAGCACTCTCAAAAAACTCTCCTTATAAGCAGTAAAGCTGTCTATACACTGTTTGATGAATGAATCTACTACTTGCATCATATGTACATCTGCACTTTGTTGTTTATGATGAGAGAATCCTCGAGAACAGAATTCAGTCAGCGAGCACGTGCACTGAACAACAAAACTCTGGTGTTTCAGCAATGACTCATCTAAACGCCTCTGATTGGCCGCTGCGTTCATAAACTCAACAGACTCGTGTGTGATTGGTTATAATGCGCGACACTGTAAAAACGCGGAAAAAGATTCATGGTGCAACATAAAGCAGATTTAATTTAATGCTGCAGTCAACACTTTTCATTTAATTTTCATTTAGTTTAACTGCCGCGCTATTTTTGTCCACGTGTTGCCATAGTTTCTACAAGCGGAAACCGATAGCGTGGATATTACGTAATTGATAGGCGACAATTAACCGGGACGAGCCATTAATTAAAATGTGAATTTCTCTGGATTTACAAATCCTTGGGAACTTTTGGGATAACTTAAGTGCACAACTGCATGAAATGTATAACAATGTGCAAGTGGTTTTGTGATATTTTTTTACGAAAATCTTACATATTGTGCCTTTTAAGAACCAAATCAGCATTAGAATGATTTCTGAAGGATCATGTGACAGTGTAGACTTGAGTAATGGCTGCTGAAAATTCAGCTTTAAATTACAGGAATAAATTACATTTTAAAATGCATAAAAATAGAAAACAGTTATTTTAAATTAAAATAATTTAAAATAAACACACATAAAATACCACAATATTACTGTTTTTACTGTATTTTTGATCAAATAAATGCAGCCTTGGTGAGCGCTCATCTTCTTTCAAAAACATAAAAAAGAAATCTTTCCAATTCCAATCTTTAGAACAGTAGTGTATGTACTATTAAAATATTAAATTTTTGCAAAATATTATTTTATATGTTGTACTATTCTTTTCTAGATTAGTTCCGAGCTATGTTATCGAACATAGTTACCAGCCATTATTTTAAATGCATTTCAGTAAAGAGTACAATGTTTTAATATTTTGTACATCATTTACAGATACTTTGTATGTTAATGTTGATTTAATTTCATGGCTAATAGCAATAATTGTTCAGAAATATTAAGTCAAGTATTTGACATAATTGGATGGGAAGCTGTGTGTTTTTACACAAAATTATTTCAGGCCAGGTATTTTTTTTTTATTACAATTGTTATAATTTTAATTATTTTGGTTGTAGCTTTACTCTGTTAAAATACTACAGATGGTTTTACTCAGCGTTACCCGTTTTCTGTCCCATTCATTTTATAAGATCCCGTTCTTTGTTTGTGAGATTAGTGCTATTAAAAATACATGTAACAGTGTTGGGAATTCAGAGTGCAGATGAAAACTTACTGTTGATATAGGCTCAGACAGTTGATTGAGTGTTTGAATAGTAGGATCTGTCAGTCGCTTTGATCACAGTCAAATAATACCAAGAATTGAAATGGTTTAAAACATTTCTCCTCACTCGTAACTCTCTCTGCGTATTAGTGTGTGGCAGCACATAGACTGCATGGGGATCGACCGGCAGCACATTCCCGAGACCTACCTGTGTGAACGCTGTCAGCCACGCATCCTGGACCGAGAGCACGCCATCCTACTGCAAACCAGGAAGAGAGAGAACATGTCTGGTGAGTTTTTTTCATGCATACACACAAACAAACACACCCATAGACACGTTCAACCTCTCCCACAGAAACAATGCCTCTACTGCTTTTTCCCACAGTTCAGCTGCAGATAAGCATCTTTACAGTCTGAAGACTTTACACTATACAGGATCGTATGAGCTTTTGTATAACGTGAAATATATATCTGACCCTCCTGAAATCTATACCGGCAATTCTATAAGAAGCTCTCTGTGTAGTGATCAAGTGAAGTCAATAATTGCTAGAGATTTCTTAAAGGGGTCATATGATGTGATTTAAATTTTTCCTTTCTCTTTGGAGTGTTACAAGCTCTTGGTGCATAAAGAAGATCTGGAAAGTTGCGAAGACTAAAGTCTCAAATCCAAAGAGATATTCTTTATAAAAGTTAAGAGTCAGCCACGCCTACCTAAAACGGCTCGTTTTAACACGCCCCCACATACCTACATCACTATGTGGGAAAATTTGCATAACGCCACCCAAATGTTCACGCAAAGAAAGAAGGCGTAACTTTTATTCTCGCTGTAGTATTGTTGCTGCCGCCATGTCGAGAAGGCACTGTGTGATTCGTTGTGAAAGCGAAACTACTTTGTTTGGCCTTCCAAAAGAGGACGATAACTGCTTCGTCATGCCTAGTGCTGATCCATGCTGGTCGCTGAGGAAATACTTCAACTTTGCGCTGTGGATCACCGGATCGGCTTTCACCGTGGACGAAGATTGAAAATATCTGAGCTCTCTGCCTCTACTGTCACCTGCTGGAAATGTTTGGGCATTACAGCTGCAGCTTGATTCAATGTCAAAGTGCACTTTGAGGACAATGGCGTCTGTTTAAACTGCAGTGACTTTATATTTATGGTTGAGGGTTAAATGTCAGTTGTACTATAATGGTTTAGGGGTGAATTCAATGTACAAGCTTATGTACTGCGTGTTTTGTTGCAGACGGGGACACCAGTGCTACAGAAAGTGGAGATGAGGTTCCACTAGAGTTGTACACAGCGTTTCAGCACACCCCTACCAGCATCACACTCACGACAGCACGTCTCGGTAACAAACAGGCAGATAAGAAACGAAAGAAGAGTGGAGAAAAGGAGCCCCCGGCTACAACCAGGGCCAAGAAGGTCTGAGTCACACAACAACCTAATGTAAATGTAAACATGACGTCAACCTAATGTAAATATGATGTCAACCTAATGTAAATGTAAGCATGACGTCAAAATTGAATTTTTGTGGAAACCGTAATACTTTTTTTTTTTTTTTGCAAGATTTTAATGTTGCAAGTCTATTTGGATTATTTTGTCTATTTAGATATTATATATGTAAATGTGTCATGTTATGGAACCAAAATCAATTACTTCACCTGCTTTGAAACATACAAGTCTGATTTCTGCTTGTGTTTGTCTTTCAGTCATTCCGTGAAGGCTCTAGAAAATCGTCTAGAGTAAAGGTGGGTACTCTGGAGCTATCCAAATTTACCCCCCAAATAACTATTCAAATGTGTGTTACGCATGCTTACACTGCTTGTTTACCATCTTGTGCATCTTCTGTCCTCAGGGCTCAGCTCCCGAGTGTGAGCCAACAGATCCTCCCTCACTTTGGGAGAATAAGATGAAGTCGTGGATGGAGCGCTATGAGGAAGCCAGCAGTAACCAGTACAGTGAAGAAGTGCAGATACTGCTAAGAGTAAAAGAAGCCAGAGATGGCAAAACGCTGGCCTACAATACACACACCGCAGCCTTCAAACCACCTGTTGAGGTATTAAATACTCACATATACAAATTCCACCACAATATTGGTCTGCACTTCTGGTGCGTTGTTTGTGGCTTCATACGACATGCTCATTGTGACTTTTTCTTCCCAGAGTCACGTACAGAAGAACAAGCGCATTCTTAAGGCTGTTCGGGATTTGGCTGCCGATTCGCTCATAATCGAGTACAGGGGGAAAGTCATGCTACGACAGCAATTTGAGGCCAATGGTTACTTCTTTAAGAGGTACTTGAAAGGACACTTTGTGCTTTTGAACATTAGTTTTGCGTCTGCATTTTTGTTTATAATTTTCATTTTTTATTTGCAGGCCGTACCCTTTTGTATTGTTCTACTCTAAGTTTGACGGGTTGGAAATGTGCGTGGACGCACGGAGTTTCGGCAACGAGGCCCGATTCATTCGTCGCTCCTGCACCCCCAACGCTGAGGTGCGCCACGTAATCGAGGACGGCATGCTGCATTTATACATTTACTCTCTGAGGTCCATCTCCAAAGGGAGTGAGATCACCATTGGCTTTGATTATGACTACGGCAGCTGGTAAGAACACGCACTAGGGCTGAGTATCCCCGATTACTGTGTGTGTGTGTGTGTGTGTGTGTGTGTGTGTGTGTAATGACTATTCTGTTTGAAATGTTTGATTCTGATTGCCGCAAAGCATCAGATAATTGTTTAAAATGGACCGTTCACACTTTTCTCACTACTTTTCCTGTTTCTCATCTTGTTTGCTAGTAAATATAAGGTGGACTGTGCGTGTGTGAAAGGCAATCAGGAATGCCCTGTGCTCAAGCATAACATGGAACCCACAGAGAATCTGGGCTCTAGCACACGACGGCGTGGCCGCAAGGACAAAGAACCGTCGCAGGACGAGAGCGGACAGAATCAGAACCTCACTATGGACTGTGACGGGCCCAAGGGGAAATCGCTCAATGACGGCAAACAGAGAAAACTCTCTCCACTCCGGCTTTCCATATCTAACAATCAGGTATGATAGACACGCACAGTCTCATACTTACCCACATAAGTACCATTTCATCTCACAAAATGAAATGGTACTTACATGGCGCCTGTCTTCATCCGTGAAAGGTAGTTTAATGCTTAATCTGATAAGCATTAAATAATTTAAGTCATGGTTTTACGAAGGTTATAGCAATGAGTAACAGAGATAATCTAGCGTTTTTGAAATATTCGGGGTTGGCTGAGAGTCTGGGTAAGGAGGTCCCTTGATCTATAAAGGTCAAAAAAAAAAAACTTTTTGCATATAAATATTATCCATGTGTATTAATCTGTGCATGATTCTTTCTTCGTTGGATAGTTTCAGTCATTCTAATGATCTGTTTACTCATCCACATTTCCTTCCTGGCCCTAATTACAGTGTCTAATCACCAGAAAACATTTTTCCGCATTATTTTGCTCGTATGTTCCCGTATTTCAGTGGTGGCCGGTGGCAGAATAATAAATCTTGCTTGTTTGGCACGCTGTGAAAATTTTCAAGAATCTACCCATGTAACTCCCTGCCATCCTGGTGTCATATATATCAGGACATCCCAGGAAGAGTGTTCAGCAATTCTGGCACAGTTAGAACAGAGGAATCCACTCCGATCTGTTTAGTAGTTGCATTGATGCACAGATTCTCATAAGTACAATCTGGTCTGTCTGACCCAAGATCTCGGCCACACTCGGCCCGAATCGACACTTCCCGCACTTTTCTCTCCCTCTCCTGGTCTGTAGCCAGGCGATGATAAAGGCCCTCTCCCCCTCTTGCAGGATCCTGAGTTAATAGAGGATCTAGAAGAGAAAACCTCCGTTAGCAATGAAGTAGAGATGGAGTCAGAGGAGCAGATTGCAGAAAGGAGGAGGAAGATGGTAAGTGCTTTCAGGGGAAAACGACCACTATGGCAATCACGGTCGCCGTGGAAACGCTATTGCCCCCACCCCCTGTCTTTTTCCCCTCCTTGTTCTGCCTCCTGGTGTGTGTGGTGATTTGGGCAGCTCCCAGAATGCTCCACCATTCCTTTCTTCCCCTCCACACCCTCTAAACCTCCCGCTAATTTTGCTGCTGCCGCCACCGCTTCTCTGTTCCTGTCGCTGTGTAGTTTAACCTCCTGAAGGATAGCGCGAGGGCACTCATCCTTGTTGCTTTGTTTTTCTTTTTCATACTTCATCTTTTATGGAGCCTCTTTGGTTCTCCATGATGAAATGTTAAGAGCTTTAACATGCAGTGCAGTGTTAACATGCAGTGTTTCATCTGCAGTCATTTCTCTCCTCTGTCATGACTAAATGTCAAGACCATGTTAGTAGTGAGAGATCATTCTTAAATGGAGGAACCTACTGAAGTACTACACAGTGTTTTAATTTACATGTTAATTAACATGGAACCCAATGTGGTGGTATTCTACTATATATTTGGTCCTCTGTTCCATTCTGAAGCACATTTACGTCCAATCAGACATCTATTCAACACTGCTGCTTACCAAAACTGAACAATCCTGAACAAAAACCGTGTTACTTTTTGCATCAAAAATATGTTAGGGTGTAAATTACAGAGTCAAACTCTTGACTGATTAAAAAAGGTCACGTAAAGTTGCAAAGATCCTCACATAGAATTGTTTTGAATAATGAAACTTGATTGAAACCCTAGTGACGCATGGACCAACAGGCTTGGAGCTTGCTGTCTGGTTGAATAATAGCTTTAGCTATTGGTTACATATTAGTTTAAGATCAACCATAGAGAGTATAGTAACTCTCTCACTAAATATGTTTTATGTGAATGTTTTGGTGTGGTTATTACTGTGTGTGGTGCTTTTTTGTTTGCTTGCCATGACTGGTTAAAGGCAGGTGGAAAAATGTGTGGAAAAAACAGGCTCTGAAACCATTACACTTCCAAAACTTTCCTCAACAAACATTGTGAAGAAAATATAAATCACAACCATTCCTAAAATGCCTTACGATTAACAAAGCAGAAAAAAAGCTAACAGCTGTAAAAAAAAATTCAGTTTTATCTGAATAAATTAATAGCAAGGTACCAGACTCTGGTACGTTATTAGTGGAAATTCCCCAAGCATTCCTCTCATTTTCTTTGCTGCAACAGGACAGACAAGCAATTCAAAGACAATTCTGATTTCCTGCCAATCTTATTTGAGTTCTCTAACACCCCTTTTCCACCATAATGGTACTGGCGCTTGGTCTGGGCATTTGAGAACCTCTCCTGGAACTGGTCCCCGTTAAGCCTATCAACAGACTACAATACTTACAACATGCTCTTAAACACGTTTTTGCTCAACAGCATGTATATTGCAGCAGACACTTCCCATATAGACCACTTTTTGCCGCCAGTGTAGTTAAGAACTTTATGTGGTGAAGACATTATCTTGCCCCCTTGTTTCAGACGTTAGTGATTTCTGTTCAAGACAAGTGTTCCCAGGCCAGAACCGGCACCTTTTGGTAAAAGAGGGGTATGTCCATTAATCACACAGTATGCCCATACTGAAGCTCTGAACCCCAACCACACTACCCAGACAGCAAGGACTAGGCTGATACATATGAATGTGTGCATGAGGGTGTGAGCAAACTAGAGTCCTGTGTGTGTTTGAACCCTGATGGCTGTCTCTTTCGGCACCATTCAGGGCGGCCCGGCAGAGGAGTCCCATCGTCACGGCGCAGGGGCTTCCTGCTGCAGAGCTCTGAGAAACAAGGAGGTAAACCTTATCCCATCATATCATGAATGACACCCAACCCACACCCTGGAGAAGGATAACCCACACACTAACCCCACTGTCCTGTGCTCACTGACCCCATGCTGGGGGGGGGGGGTTGGTCTTATGTTTCCTCTTGACTAGAAGAGAAGTGTCCCATTTCTCTATTTTCCCGCCTTTGCTGCTGGCTATGGCCTGCTGATTGTAGCTAGCTGGGATCCCAACTGTCAGCCAGAAATTAGACTCAGCTTTTCTCTGTTGTCTTCTTTCCTTCGTTCTTTCTGTCCATCATTCACATAGACACGTGAAGAGAGGAAGATGGAGGCCATTCTGCAGGCATTTGCTCGTATGGAGAAAAGAGAAAAGCGGAGGGAGCAAGCGTTAGAAAGGATCGGCACCAAAGGGGAAGTTGGTGGACGCATCGAGATTAAGGAAGAGCCTCCTGCTACACCAGAGGCTGAATCTCCTGTCCTTTTACAGGTACATAACCTTCAATGATGTGCAAACATCACTAAATCAGTAGCGTGTTTTCTGCACAACTGATTCTGACTTGATTGACATTAAGTTGTAGACGAAAGTTACTTTTGGTCATATATGACTAAATAAAATGTGAACTGTTAATGTTACATGCATTTATTTGATCAGAAATACAGTAAAAAAGCGTAATATAGTGAGTTCAAAAGAACGTCATTGATTTAAAATGGAAATCTTTTGTAAGATTATAGATGTTTTTACTGATGAAAGCTGACCCTAAACTTAAAAAAAAGTGTATATAGTAAGTATATATATATATATATATATATATATATATATATATATATATATATATATATATATATATATATATTTCTCTTTT